CTAGGCCGCCACGGCCTGGTGAGGGCGATCCAACCGCAGGCGCCAGCAGCCATGACATCACCAGAGCCGAAGGGGCTAATGGTGGCAACACTGGCGCTGGCAGCTCTGACGATCACCGTAGACTGCAACAAGTTGCAGCAAGGCGCGGACGCATGGAGGGAGGAGATCCTCCACCACCGCCGCAGCCTCAAGCAGAGCCGAGGCCAAGGCCAAGGCTCCCTGATTGGACTCGCTTCGACGTTCAGCTCAGCCTCCAAAACCTGCGCAGCTTCGACCCAGCTGTAGTGCAGCGAGAACTCCGCAAACTCCACCTGAGATGGTTACATGCCAAGGAGCCAAAAATGCGGATGATTCTAACCAAGGTTGGTCTGGGTGAAACCCGTTTGAGTCTGATCAAAGGCATTTGTGACTCGTGTAGAGAATGTCGAGCCTGGGACAAACCAGGCAACACGGTGATGCCTTCTGTGTCACTGCCAGGACATTTCAACGAGGAAGTCGAATGTGATCTTTTCTATTACAAGCAGGAACATATTGTTTTTCACATCATCGACCGTTGTATTCGCTGGGCAGCTGGCACAGAGATTCCTGATAAAGCTATGCACACTGTTCTCGATGCCTATCATACGACTTGGATGCAGCATGGCCCTGCTAAAATCTTATACTCCGATGGGGAAGGAGCACTGAATAATGATACAGCAAAGGCCATCCTTAAGGCTAAGGGAACAGAGCTTCGTATTCGAGCGCGTGGCCAACCCGCTACAACTATCGAAGCTAGGAACGGCATCCTGCGACACCTCTTACACGTGATGGGAGAAGAATTGAATAGATTAAATATTCCTCTCAATTTCACTCGTCTCTTACATGAAGCCTTGTTTGCCAGCAACGCAATTACCTTCTACAATGAAGTGTCTCCGTACAATGCGCTGTATGGCAGACAACCAGCTATGCTTCCCGATTTCCCTGTCTTGGATCATGATCAGTCCGCTGAATCATCAGATCACTCAAGGGAGGAAACACTCAGGAGGGTTAGTCTGGAGGCAATCACGCAGGCCACTGCGGTTGCCAAGACGAACGGGGCTCTCCGTACGAAGACTACTGCTACGGGTGAATTTCACTACAAAGAGGGAGATCTCGTGGACTATCATCGCCCGACCACCTCGAAAGACGACTGGGGTGGATGGAGTGGTCCATACCCGGTCATCCGCAACGAACCTGACCGAGGCCAGGTCATCGTGAAGGTCGGCAGTCGCGAAGTGCGAGTACAGTATCCTGACACACGACACACACTGTACATCGAAGCACTTATGGTCCGCGAGATAGGATCGGACAATACGGCCCTTCGGACAGTATTGGCCTTTATTGCCGGTCTGCCAGCGGGGAAACCCGCCATGACTTTCGGATATCTACCAGCGAAACAGGGTCGGCTGCAGATGACTGCTGCGAGCCGACTTTCGCCTAAGGTGCACTTGGCTCTTCAGTACCTCATACGCAACTACTTTCGTATTGAAAACGTTGTTGCTGTACGACTTGCCAAGAGCCTGACGAAGTTGCCTGCTGCACCCTATGCAGACAGCTGTACACTAGTGCACTATGATAATGATGTGACCCCTGGTTTTCATTACTATGAAGCTGATGGCACTGCCTTGAACATCTATGACATCACAGGATCTACACACTCACGCATCATCCAGTGTCTTAAATCCAGGAAGCCGTCTGCTGGATTTGACCAAGACCTCACTAAGTTTGAGGAACTCGCTGATGGTCCACCACCAAGCGAATCACCTCCAGCAGCTGCTCCTGAGGAGCCTCCTACGGATAACGATGGTCGGCTCCCGACCATCATAGAGGAAACAGAAGAAGATCTGGATGCTTTTGTCTTGAAGTCGTGGTATGCTGAACTGATGGATGACAGAACACTCCTTGAAGCTGACACAGAGGAAGTCATGCATACAGTTCCCACATACATGACAGACACACAGTGTGTGTTAGTCTCTACGACCTGTGAAGATGTGCAAGGCCACTTGCCGGAGCGGGGTCACCCGCCAGGATACGACATGGACACTTCTTACTACGTTCCTTTATGCTCCACGGATCCGGATAGCAAATATGATCTGGACTCCGATGAGCACGGGAAGTACATCGAGCTCTGCTTCACTGCAGACATGTCCAAAGTCGTCCTGTCCGAGCAGCAACACCGATTGTTGGATGACAGCAGCGTCACAACTATGCGAGTATACGTTAGCGCTGCCTCCAAACGTGCCGTGGTCGTCAAGGAAGACGATCTACTCACGAAGGCCGACATCCAAGCAAATCCGGTCAAAGTTTCCAAAGCCCTCTACACAGAATTGAAGACTTGGCTTGACAACAAATGCTTCCAGATGACTGACTTAAGCAAGGCGTCTAACATCATGACGTCACGCTACGTATACAAATGGAAGTTTGTCAAGAACGAAAAGGGCGAAATGGAAAGGACGATCAGGTTACGCTTGGTACTCCGTGGCTTCATGGACCTTGAAGCCTTTGATGTCGAAACCTTCTCTGGCACGGCAAGGAGGTCAAGCCAGAGACTGCTCGCAAGTTCTGCTGCATGCAACAAAGCTTGGATCATCGCTTCCCTGGACATCAACATGGCTTTCTTGAAGGGACTGACCTATGGCGAGCTCGCCGCGGCAACGGGCGAGAAAGAGCGTGTGGTGTGCTTCACACTACCACCTGGGTCAGCAGCTGTCCTTCGCACACTGCCAGGCTTTGAGTCATATGACGAATCAAAGCATTGTCTCCGGTGTCTGAAACCGGGGACGGGCACGAAGGATGCTCCCAGGGCATTCTCGCTGAAGCTCAGGTCCATCACTAGGAGCTTTGGGCTACAGCCTACTTCATACGACGAAGAGTTCGAGATGAGCCCAAACCTCTTGACAGCCAAGCACGTTGATGACATCAATATGACTGGGAAGGAAGAGGCTATTGACAAGTATGTCAAGTGTGTTGAAGATACGTTTGGGAAGTGCAAACTGAACAAGCACACATACACAAACTGTGCCGTTCGGTACAACAAGACCGATGATGGGAGCGTCACTCTTGATCAGGACGAATACATCAAACAGCTTCGTCCTATCACACATCCAGAGCTCACAGGAGCTGATCCTGAGAGCAAAGCGACAAAGACGATTTCTGACATGTTCGTCAGTCTTCGTGGCGCTCTAGCCTATGCGTTGATCACGCAGGTATGGCTGATGGTCTATGTTGTCTCACTACAACGTATCCAGGAACCGACAAACATCCAGGTACGACGACTAAACGCGGTTACCAGAAAGCTACAGGCAGGTCCGAAGAAGATCGTGTATCAAGCTATGACCCCAACAGGAGAAGTCGACCTGCATAGCGATTCTGGCTATCGTCGTCTCAACGGAGATGAAGACGACGAAGTCAAAGGCTATGGTATCCGCGGGGCTAACCTGCTGAGGCGTGGCCACACGCAAGCGGGGAAACCCGTCGTGCACCTGGTGGACGCATACTGCAAGTCTCATCGACTGCAGGTGCGTTCGAGCTACTCTGCGGAAACACTGGCAGCAGCCCACAACTTGGAAGACTGCTACCCGACCATTGTAACGCTCCACGAGCTACACTCGGGACCATTGACCCCCACACAGTTAAAGAACATATTGGAAATGGGTGGTCTATGTATCAAAGTCACTCTGACTATTGATGCCGAGTCTGTCTTCAAGTCTTTGTCTAGCAAAGATCTGAAGAAGCCCACAGAATGTACTCTGCTTGGGCACATCAGCTGGATCCGCCAGATGATGGAACGCGGAATCGTGGAAAGCGTCCAATGGTGTGACACGCGGGATATGACTGCCGATGGTCATACCAAAGGTAGTATTGACCGCGCGTTGCTCCTACAAGTAATGGCCGGCCAGCAATCCTTCAAGCACGAGCTGAAGAAACATACGCCGTATAGGGCGGGCAGGTCGTCTCAGGACGGCCCTGCCTCCCGAGCCAGCGGGGAAACCCGCGGGCAGGTGCGCTTTAGTAGCGAGGAAACTCGCCGGTAGCGAGGTTACTCGCGCGCCCTTTCCTTGTAGGCAGCCGCTGCTGCTTAGCATTGTTTTTCCGCATAATGTAGAAGTGCGGTACCTGCTCGTCTCCTCCCCCTCCGACTTTAAACGGAGAAGGTTAAAGGCGAGGTATAAATCGAGCATGTACCGCTGCCGTGCCTGGCTCAAGCCGGGCCCGGCCAAGATATATGACTGTGCCTCACTGAGGCGCACGACTTGCATCAGAGATCGGAAAATACCTTTTCCATTGACGATGCCCATCCTATCCTTTACTCCAGATCCCATGCTTCGTCTCGCTCTCTTGCTCATGCGATATGAGCCAAAGCCTGGGATATGGCAACGCTTAAAGCGTAACACATACCTAAGCTTACCAGCTTGTTTTCGACTGGCGCAACGTCGGACACGAATGTGTGGACCTTCTCTGGAAGGCCTCTGGAAGCTTTCGAGGGGTGGGGGTGGCACAATGTACCCCCATACAGTGGTAACAGTCAACGTTTCGATCCTCTTATTCCTTCCCCGGAAAGATTTGGAATTGTCGGTAGGTTCCGTTGTGAGTTTGCAAGACGTTGCGGTACCTTCAGCCCTGAAGTGCCAGCTTGGTGCGCAGATTAGGCGCTAGATGCGCGGATTGGCAAGCCCTTGTCTTCTCTTTTCCCCCTCTTAACTCTTGCCATTGTCTTTTTGTCCCATGCTCCCGCTCCATATAATATTCTCCTCTGCCTTTCTTCATCCTCTCAGATCCTCTCCGTCTCCACCCTCAATACAGTTTCCAACGTCCCCCATTGCATGTTTGTCATTGGCAGAGCCCCCAGGCAGTGGTTCTGTACATGAAGGCTCCCACGGATTTGGTGTACATGCTCCTGCATGGCATATTGTGGCAAGACGCATGACTGTAGAAGCGACGCGCACTAACGCATGCAGGTGCATGCGACAAATTAGCCACGTGCCAGCGAGCACACTTTGCGTGGCGACCCTTCGGGCACCGCCCGAAAGGCCGTGACCTCTGACAGGTCTCGTCCTTCATGTCTTGAGCGGCTCTCATGGTGACTGTCATTGGCCCGCATTGGAGTTGTCTTGCGCTCCGGCGGGAAAGTCCAGTGGGAGCCAGACCAAGAAACACCCCGCTTGCCTCCAGGGTGCCCTGGGTTTCTTGGGTTCCCATGGTGTTGTCATGGACAGCGTGACGCCCCTATACCAAACATCAGTGGACGTCCTGGGGTTCCAGGGTTGGGTTTCTTGTGGAAGGTTTCTTGATGTCGAGCCTCTACTGTATTGAGGGTCCGTTGATGGGGATCTTGGCAGTCTGGGGCCCGGGCACCACTATGGACCTGGTTCAGGGGCTCTCTAAGCCGTCTGGGGGGATCTTTCGGGGGCGTCGTGGCACCGTGGGTTGCCTAGTCTAGATAGCAATTCGTCAACGCGCGCCCCCGCTCGCCCCAGATTTCAAGGTTGACGGGCAAGCAGCAGCCCCCCGCAAAAGTGGGCGTTTATTTCGCAACACTTCGCATGCCCTTCCAGCGCGGTCGTCGGCCAACATTGAGATGCGGGGTCTGGGGTGTTTTTTCGCGGCACTACTACTGGCGGGCGTTTATTTCGCAAACGGCGGTGTTGCATGGTTGCGGCTAATTGTGGGTTCTTTCGAGCCCTCGAAACGGCACATGGACAGATCTTCGACCGAAGAGCGTGGACAGCAGAAAATGTGTAATAACCAAAATGTGGCAACGCTTCATCTGTGTATTAGGCTCCTCGGAGGCCTCCAGACTAGCGGTCTGGGGTGTGTCTTGGGGCTTGTTCGAGGCCTCGTGGGACAGATTGGGCGTTTCTTAGAGGCTACTGGGTGCGTCCTGCGGCAATGTTGGGCCATCTTGGCGGCACTGGTGACCTGCCTCGGCCATTTGAGAAGCCTTTTGAAAGCGCAGGGGATCCCCAGGGAGGCGTCGGGCCGCCTGGGGAACTTCGGCAGCGAGGGACGTGTGCGGGGCAGTGTGACGACACAGGAGGGGGAGGTATGGCAGCCCTACCAGGCAGCATGTGGCCATCTACCACGCCTCGGCGTGCCAGGAGGCACGGTGGCGGAGATGCCCACATCCTTGCATGGACCGCCTCCTCCTTCCCTCCTCCTCCTTCTCTCCTCCTCCTCTTCCTCCTCCTCCTCCTCGTCCTCCTGTTCCTCCTCCTCTTCCTCCTCCTCCTCCTCGTCCTCCTCCTCTTCCTCCTCTGGCGATGCTGCTTCTTGCACAACAATGCCATCGCATGGCATGCGGCAGAGCCCGCCTCCGGGCCTGGGCGGTGGGCAAGGGGGCTTCTTCGGGGCGTCGTGTGGCCTCGTGGGAGGGCTCCTGCGGGCCTCTCGGGGGCCCGTTTGGGGCCTCTTGGGCGAACCCTGAAGTCTTGGAGGCGTTGGCGGGAGCCATCTCAGGGTGGAGGGCCCCAACGGCCCCTGTCGAGCTTCCTCTCTCGGATCTCTCCTGGGGTTCTTTCTGGGGCGCCCTCTTCTGGGCGTTGAGGACCGTCTTGTAGCGATCCTGGGGGCTTCTTGAACCGTTTTCGACGCTGTTCAATGACATTGCCCTTGGGCCATTTCCAAGGGCCTCGAACACGGCCAAAGAGAGCTCCAGGGCCCAGGGCGGCCCCGTGGAACCATCCTAGATCAAGTGGGAAGTTTGGGCTCCCAGCCACGCTACCAAGGCGTCTGAAAAAGTCACGACCAAATGCCCGAGGGCACCAACATAGTCCAGACATTCGAAGCCTGGACTCCTTAAGAAGAGCGTGCAACTCCCAGCGCAGGTAACTCAGAGGGACACGAAGTCACTCCTCTCAGTGCCTACGGCACGGTGATGGGTTACAAGCGCCAGGTAATCGCATGTTGAGCAGCCATGCGTATCGAATCATAACCGGGTTCTCCGTTCTACCAGCAAGAACATGTTGGTGAGTTTTGGCGCTGTCCGTGGCGAACACATTACAGCGTTGTTCTGTCTTGCACCGTCCGCAGAATTGTTGGGCAATCCGTCCACTAAGCCGCATGTCCCAACAAAGTGCCCCAATAGCTACCCGCGAAATTCTGACGCCAGACCCAGAAGTGCCATCACCATATGGAAGCTCTCCTAGAGAGGAGACTGCTGTGGTGTTTTTATTGCCCTTCGGGGTCACCGAGGTGAATAGACCAGCTAGTGGGCAGTTTTGGTTAAGGAGTGCCCCTCTTTCACGGGACCTTCTGTTCATGATTGGCCAGCTCATGTTGGTTACAAGCCCCAGGTCGCCAGCGCATACGTCGTCAGCTCGGATGTCACAGGATGGTGCGTATGTTCCTGCTCGCTCGCCGAAGCCGACAACGCAGCGAAAACAGGGCTCTTGCATAGCCACCAAGCGGTCGCCTTTGACTGTCGTAATCAGCTCAGCAGGGAAAGCACGTAGAGACATTCTTCTTGATACACGCGTGCATAATCACACAGTATGGCTCCGTGTTGCTGAACGCGCCGCGTGATGCTGTGTCGAACCAGCGTTTGCTGGTGCGCGCGACCGGTAACTACCCTGGCTTGCGCTGCACGTGTGCAGGACGATCGCCAGCTCTGACACGCACCCCGGACCCCATCGGGCGAGCACCTGACCTGTGCGTGCTTTGCCCTGCATGCGGACTGCTGGCGCGGCCGCAGGCGCGGACTCGGGCGCGGCCCGCGCGGGGAAGCTGCAGGAATGCTGCCCGGATGCCTGGTCTGTAGCTTCGTCTCTTCTGGGGCAACCGAGCGATGGTCAACGAAGCTCTCCCCCGTCATGGCGCCAACATCGCAAAGTGGATTACGTTCGGGAGGCGGTGTGATGGGCCCAGGTTGTCCCGGCGAACCTCGTGCTGGGTTGCGAAGCGAATTTCGTGCGGATCTTTTAAGCTAGGAATGAAGACTACAAAACATCCACGTGAAATCCAGTTCGTTTTTCGCTCGCTGTTTCGGGGTTTTGTATTGACCGAAATCCACGCAACAGTCCGCTGCAGCACGTCTGCAAGGTCGGTGCAGTGACCACCAGCCTTCCCTCGGTGCGGAGTGTGCTGCCGGATGCAGTCTAATTGGCCCGTGGCAGGTGTCGATTTCAATATGCAGCGAGAAGCGCTTCCAGGTGGCACCAGAGAGTGCGCCACTTAGGTTTTCTCATTGGTCTGCCAGCGTGCACGCCCATGGGCTGCCACAGCCCACGGCATGAGCGAGCGACGCTTGAGCAGAGCCGCGCGAGGCGCTGATCGGCACCTTCCTGGCCGCGGGGCTGGCGTGTGGCGGCTGCGTGGTGACGTGGCAGAAGCCGAGGTGGCGCGCGCTGGGGCGGAGGGGCGACGACACGATGACCATGACCAGGACAGGGTCCACTCCGATCGGATCGATCCGATTCGATCTGACTCCGACGATCCGATGTGGCCTGACGCTTTCATGTTGTTGTGCATTTTGGCGCGATCGATTCGATTCGATTGCGAAGGCCTTACGGCCAGTGCCGCCGACCCTGAAGACGACGACGACGACGACGACGACGACGACGACGACGACGACGGCGATGAAGGGCGAGGAGACGGAGGAGGAGGAGGAGGGGGAGGAGGAGGAGGAGGAGGCGGAGTAGCAACAAGAGGAGGAGGAGGAGGAGGAGGAGGCGGAGGAGGAGGAGGAGGAGGAGGAGGAGGAGCAGCAGGAGGAGAAGGCCTCTTGGGAGCCTCTTGGGGGCTTCTAAAGGCGTCTATGGGACCTCTTTGGGGCCTCTTGGGGCTCCTTGAGGACGTCTTGGACCGTTTTGAGGCGCTCGTATGCAGTCTGGCCCCTTGAGAGGCTATCTTGGAGGCCGCTCGCGGCCGCCTTGGAGCGCTTTTGGGGTCCTCTGAGGCCGTCTTGGGGGCCTCTTGGACCGTTTTGGGAGCCTCTTTTGGCTGTTTCGGGGCCCTCTTGGGCCGCCTTGGGGGCTTCTTGGGCGGTCTTGGGGCCTTCTTGGAGGCATCTTGGGCCACGAAGGTTTTCTGAAAGCCGAAAAGGGCGATAACACGAAAGGAAAATCAATGATTTTGGCCGTTGGAGGTGCTCTTGGGGTTCTCCTGAGGCCCTCCTGCGCCATCGTGGCTGCCTCGTGGGCACTCTTGGGGCCACCTTGGGCTGTATTGGGGTCATCCTGGGCCGTCTCGGGGCCATGTTGGGCCATCGTGAGGCGAGCTTGACGCCTTCTTGGAGGCCCAAGAGGCCCAAGAGGCCGAACTTGTTGATTTTCCATATGTTGCTGTAGGTTTTGCACCCCAGAATGAGGGCCGGGGGAAAACGAATCTGGGTGGCGACCCCTCCGGGACCCCCCCAGAACCCCGCTTTGGTGTCGATGATCGTCGCTTAGCGTCTGGGAGTCGATGAGATAGCGCCGATTTCGCGTCGGCTAGCGTCGATTCAGCGTCGATTAGCGTCGATTTGGCGTCGACTAGCGTCGATTCGCAGGAGCCGACAAGACGGTGTGGGAGGCTCCCATGAGCTGCCACCGAAACGGGGGGTCCGCTCCCCCCCTTCTCCATCCTCACAAGCACGTGGTGGCGCTCGGAGGGTGCTGTGGTGATCGGGCGCACACCGCGGTGGGTTACAGGCATGCTGCAGGGCTGCCGGGCCACCTGTGGTGCTCACAGGATGGTGGCGCTCGCAGGCACAGTGCTCGATGATCTTCAGGACGTGTGATAGCCCAAAGTGAGTTTTTCCTTTTCAGCTTCGCCGATAGCACCCAGTCTACGTCGACCCTCATTCCACTTCCTCCGTTGTATTGAAGGGCTTCGGTGGACAAGCAACCGTTGGCGCTAACACACGTTCTGAGGATCATCGAACTGCGGTGTTCACATGCGTGTTGTGGAGTTCGCAGCTTACGCGTTGCTCACAGGCTTAATGCCTGCATGCGCAGGCACATTGCGGCGATCTCACGGCATCGTGGCACTGGCAGGATCCAGCATGCGGGTGGCAACGGCATGCGTTGTCGTCTGCAGGCGATTGTGGTATTTGCTCCGTCTGGCTTTCATCGCCGTCTTGCGGTCGCAGCTGACGTGGGCAGGATGGTGATATGTGGTGTGCGCATGCACGCGGGGTGGCGCAATCATGCGGCACGCCGCGACGTTGGCAAGCTCTCGTGGCGTTCACGCGCGTGTTGTGGCGTTTTGCAGATTTTCGGGCCCTTGGCCAGGATCTAGAAAATTGTTGTGCATACGTGTGTTGCTGTTCCGCCACTGTCTTGCTCGTATGCACTGTGTTTGTGCTCGCGGGCCATCGTGTTGCTCCATGGCATGGTGTGGAGCCCGCAGACTACTGTGTCAGCGGCACGACCCGGCCTACTGGTGTGCGTGCGTGTGTTGCTGCTGTTCCGTGCATTTTGTTGCACCCTTGCGGCGCTCTGGCCTCCTCGGGAGACCTCGGACGACCACCTCTCCTGCACCCTGGCAGGGACGTGCCGCGCCGCTGATGACGACGAGGACTCCGACGACGGCGATGCTGTCGATACCGACGGCGACGACGACGAGGGCCTGGACCACCCCGGCGACGACGACACAGATCCACCCGACGCCACCGGTGGCCACGGCGGCGACGACGACCCCCGACGACCCCGACACCGACGACGACGACAACGACGACGACGACGACAACGACGACGACGACGACGCGACGACGACGACAGCGACGACGACGACGACAACGACGACGACGACGACGACAGCGACGACGACGACGACGACGCGACGACGACGACGACGACGACGACGACGACGACGACGCAACGACGACGACAGATGCGGCGGCCAGCGTCGCCAGGCACTGTTGCCCGAGCAGCCGCGGCGAGGACGGTGGCGCGCCGAAGCTGGGCCTGAAGGCCCTCGCGTGTCGCCGTCGGCGACGCCGTCGAGGATCGAGGAGCAAGGATCCTGGATCGAGGAGCGAGGATCTTGGATCGACTATCGAGGAGCGAGGATCTTGGATCGAGGATCGAGGATCTTGGATCCTGGATCGAGGAGCGAGGATCTTGGATCGAGGATCGCGGAGCGTGCAGCAAGGATCGAGGGTCGGCACGGCGCGAGCCGGTCTCTGGGCCTCACGGGGCTCCCGGGAGCCTCCGCGGGCCCCCGGAGGCACGGGTGGCCCCATGAGGCATCTGGGCCCGGGGGCGTTTCTTCAAGCAGTGGCGAAGCGTCCTGGCTCGCCTATAGCCCCACCAAACAATGTTCTAAGAACCTTTTGCGGTTCCCACGAAATGTTCTTAGAACATTTCTGGCTGGGATTGTTTTGTTTCAACACATCGGGTTCATGTTCTAAGAAAATTGTTGTTGTTCTTAGAACATTGTTGGGTTCTAGGAGCATGTCGTGGTAGGACTATAGGAATGCCGGGACGGTCGGTCCCTCCTCAATTTTGGGGCCGTCTTCGCGGCTGTGAGTGGCTCGCACTTTTCCGCTGATGTGATTCGCCCGCTCCTCAGGGTACAGCCTCAAGCTGAGAGGTCTCGCAGCGTTTCTGTCAATATGTGCGGCGGCCAGTGCTTCGCTTGAATCTGGACCCCTCGAGCTGGAAAGGAAAAAGGGTTGTCTTCGCCAGCATTGTCGCTCGCTGTCGTCCTCATTCGTCGTCGTCGTCGTTGCCGTCGATGCCGTCGTCGTCATCGTCGTCGCCCTTTTCAACCTTCTCTCTGATCTTGGTGATGCTGCATCTGTTCCTTCTCATCATCGTCACTTCTCCTCCACCTCGTACCTTCCTCCTCTTCACCTCCTCCTCCTCCTCTTCCTTATGAGGAGATTGTACTTTCAAGGACAGAAGTTCTGACGGTGACGGGATGAAGGAGAAGGAGCAGGAGGACCATAGTAGACCCAAGATGCATCAGCGATGTTGCAATATACCCTCCCGTCCCAAGTCCCCTCCCCATACCTCCCTGCAAGCTTCCCTTTTCACTACAAGAAGCACCCCCCTTGAACGACCACCGCCTTATGACCTTCCAAGTTTGGCGAGGGCCCCGCGTTGAGATGAAACCGTGCTGCATCCTCACGGCGCGCAATCAGGAGCGTAAGACACCATGGCTACACAGATCCTCGAGATCTCCAGCGAGGCCCCCTTGCCAAGACAACATCGCACCCCACTCTCCGTGCAACCGCTGCACAAGCTTGCACGTGTGGCCGTAGACTTCGAGGGAGTCTCGAGCGAACGCCCCCTTGTTTGAAGAGGAGCAGCCCTCGTTCGGTGCAGCTTTCTGCGGGTGTCACGTCCTGAGGCCTCGGGCTTTCAGAGTCCGAGGGAGTCCCCGGCGAGAGCCCCGCTTCGAGAAAGAGCCGTCCTCTTTCGGGATGTCAGTGTCCGGGACGTCCCACGCGAGAGCCCCGTTTTGAGAACGAGCCGCCCTCCGTCCTCCGAAGGGTGGCTCGTCCTCAGAACGGGGCTCTTTTCTCTCTCAATCGCTGCAGCTGTTGCCGAGTTCCACGACGAGCGTGCGCGGCGCAAGAGGCGAGGCCACCAGTTTGGCACCAGCTCCCCCCCATTCCTTGAAGCTGATGCACTTCTGGTGCCCATGTGCGCGGCGCGAGGGTGAGGTCCGCACTTTGAAAGGGAACCGCCCTCCACCCCTGCAGGCGTTGCAAACTTTGAGGACCAAGGTGCACACCGATGAGGCGAAAGCTCTTTTTGAAACGGCCCGCCCTCTTTCCTCGAAGCTGCTCCGAGCCTCAAGCGTCAGGATGATGGCCACCCATGGCGAGGCAGGTGGCAGGCGCAAGGCCCCGCCCTGCCCTGACCGACGCGCCTGGGGGTGCGGCAGGGAGGGCCGGTGCTGTGGGTGTCTTGTAAGAAAGAAGCACGGGCTGACGAGGACGAGGAGGCTCCCATGGGGGAGAGGGGGAGGAGGAGGACGGGCAAGCGTAGATATAGGAGGAGGTGGAGGAGAAGGAAGGGGAGATGGAGGATGAGGACGGCGGCGGCGACGAGAAGGACGGTATGACGAGGTGCTCGATAAGAAGGGCGAAGACCAGGAGGTTGAGAGGGATACGGGGACCCATATGCGATGTTGGCCCAGGAATGCAATGATGAGGATGGTGATGATGATGCTGATGCTGCTGATGCTGATGGTGCCGATTGTGATGATGCTGATGTTGCTGCTGACGAATATGATGCTGCTGATGATTATGATGATGGTGATGATGATGCTGCTGCTGATGACGATGATGGTGGCGGTAGTGGTGGTGGTTGTGATGACGATGATGGTGATGATGATGATTATCATTAGTATGATGGTAGTGGTGGTTGTGATGATGGTGATGATGGTGGTGATGAGGCTACTGCTGCTGATGATGAATATGCTGCTGATGATGATGCTGCTGCTGATGATGATGATGATGATGATGGTGATGATGATGATGATGATGATGATGATGATGATGATGATGATGACGATGATGATGATGATGATGATGATGATGATGATGATGATGATGATGATGATGATGATGATGATGATGACGATGATAGGCATGAAGCGGAGGGGGAGGATTAAGACGATACTGATTCTCGATGGGGGGCAGACTTAGAGACTAAGACGAGCAATCAGAGCAGGGGCATCAGGGACGAGGAGCAGGAGGAGGAGGACTTGCAGACTATGGACAAGGAGGAGGTGGCCGAGGAGATTAAGTAGGAGGGTCAGGTCGAACAAGCTTGAGGAGGAGAAGGAGGTGCGTGCATGAGGGGGAGCAGGAGCAGCAGGAGTAGGGTAAAGAGGACGATGACGAGAAAACGCGATGAGGAGGAGGAGGAGGAGGAGGAGGAGGAGGAGGAGGAGGAGGAGGAGGAGGAGGACGAGTCAGGAGCATGCAGCATGCAGCAGGACGAAGAGGGAGTTGGTGGTGCAGAGGCAGCACGAGCCAGAGATCAATTGAGAGATCTCGGCGCGCGGGTTTTATGAACTGGGGATATCGGGGTAATGCTCGCTCAGCGCAGCACAGCCCAAACCTCCTTGGGGACACTTGTCCGACCTCTGCGGGTCGTCCAGAACCAAGGCTGACCAACCTCTCCGAAATTGGGGCTCGCTGGCGGCGTCTTCCCCTTACCCTCTCAAGCAGAATATGGAGGAGAGTTGCCTCCAGGACCGAGGTTCGCTGATCGAGGTTTTTGAACGGGATTTACCTTTTGGGACCTCTGGGGACATCTAGAGACATCTGGAAGTACCTTTCAGCTCCTTCGTGAACACCACAGCGGTGCTCAGTGACAGAACCGATGGTATTGGAATGGTGAATAGCATAGCCCATGGCGGTGCGAGCATCTCTGGATTCACACTCCCCTGCCTCTGCAGGTCTGTCCAGTACCAGGACCAGCCAGCGCCACCGTGTTGGGATGCGTCAGTCGCCCTTTTCCTTCTCATCCTCTCCCCCCCAAGCAAAGGATCTTTGACGAGGGTGGCCCTCCTGACCCATATGACAACTTCCGAATACCACTGTTAACTTCCGAGTAACAGCAGGACGCCGCAGAAAACCTCGGAACATGTTCTACTGCTCTTCCTTGCTATTGCTCCTCCTTCGCCTCCTCCTTCGCTTCCTCCTCCTCCTCCTCCTCCTCGCCACCCCTTTCAACATCGGCCCACAGACCTCTCGTGGGGCGCGTCTGACCTCCTCCTAGCCTTACGTCGGGCATGCCCCTCTACAGCAGGAATTTGTTTAATGCTAAATGAAGTAGTTTGTGGACGATTCTTGGACTATTTTTTTGTCATGTGTCAGCATTTCTTGTCTACCTTCATCTTTCGCGAAAAATCCGCCTGTAGGAGGACATGCCCGACCTACGTAATCCCAGTCACCCCTTCTCAACATCGGCCCACAGACACCTCCCGGGGCGCGCTCTGACCAAGCCTTCGATGCGAAGCCAGTCGTGGCGACGGGGGCCCCCATAGAGGAGGCGCGCAGGAAATCACCCCCCGTCCTCTATCGGGCCCCTCCCTCCTCATTCCTCCCCTCCTGCCTCATCATCCCTCCTCCGCCCTCCTCTACCCTCCTTGCACTCTCCTCCACCCCCCTCCACCCTCCTCCTCCCCCCTTCCTCCTCCTGCTCCTCCTCCTCCTCCTCCTCCTCATCATCATCACCCTTCTTCTCCCCCCTCTCCGACCCCGCTCGCCTCCTCCCCCTCCTCCTCCCCCCCTCCTCGTGAAGACGACGATCTCGACGACCGAGGTTGAAGACGACGACGGCGACGACGACGACAACGACGGCGACGGCGACGACGACGACGACACGATGACGACGGCGACGACGACGACGACGGCGACGGCGACGGCGACGGCGACGGACGGCGGCGGCGGCGACGGCGGCGGCGACGGCGACACCTCGGGCCGCCCCCGCCTCGGGGTGTCGCCGCCCGCCGCGACGCCGCCGCGGAGGCGCGCCGCCCGCCTGGTGCCGCCGCGCGGCCGCCACCCGTCGACGGCGCGGACGGCGAGGCGACCATCCGCCCCGACCGAGGCGAGGACGTCGTTGGTGTCGTCCTCCCCTCCTGGATGGATCCCGGACGGCGGAAGCCAAGGCGGCCCAAGAGACCCCCCAAGACGGCTCCAAGCGGCCCCAAGAAGGCCCTCAGAAGGCGTGGAGAGGCCCCGGCCGAGGCGAGGAGGTCGTCGGCGACGTCGTCGTCGTTGGCGTCGTCCTTCCCTCCTTGCCATGCCCCTCCTCCTCCTCCTGAGCCCTGAAGGCAGCAAGGTCTGTCGGACGCTGCCCCCCCTTCCCCTCAGGGCCGGTCGGCCATGGGGGGGGCTGATTAAACTAGTAAGCCAGGTGAGCCAGGTGACTTATGTCACCGGCTGGGTGGAGAGCAGCTGTAAAAGGTAGCGGCAGCAGACGCGGGACGCGGAGAGAGGAGATCTAAACCTCCAGGGGGAGAAGAGGTGGGGGCAGTAGCATTGACGTTAGGCGCCAGGCGAGGACCTTCTCGCTTGTGGCGGCGTCCCGTGTTGTGAAAGAGCGTGCTCTACCGCTGCTGGCGCAAAACCGGGGGGGGTCACTACCGGTTCGAACCCGCCCCCCCCCCCCTCCGGAAAACCGGGGGGGGACACTACCGGTTCGAACCCCTCCCCCCCGCAGTCTATCATGAAAAGGGGGGGGGGTACTACCGGTTCGAACCCCCCCCCCTACCGGTTCGAACCCCCCACCCCCCCCTTCCCCCCCCTCGAAAACCAGGGGGGGTGCGGACAGTGGTGAGGACGGTAATAGTGGGGACAGTGGTGAGGGGACAGCGGGACAGAGGTGGGGACGGTAGTGGTGGGGACAGTGGTGAGGACAATGGTGGGAACAGTGGGGACAGTGGGACAGTGGTGGGGACGGTGGTGGTGGGGACAGTGGTGTGGGGGCAGTGGGAATGTGGTGGAAACAGTGGGACAGTGGAGGGTACAGTGGTGGTGGGGACAGTGGTGAAGGTGGTGGCGAGGACGGCGGTGGGACAATGGGACAGAGGTACAGAGGGGATAGTGGTGGCGACAGTGGAGACAGTGGTGGGAACAGGGGGACAGCTAAGTGGGATAGCGGAGGAGTCAGTGGGACAGTGGGGACAGTCGGGATAGTCGGGCAGTGGTTGGGGACGTGGAGAAAGTGGGGAGAGTGGAACAGTGGTGGGAACAGTGGTGGGGACAGTGGGGACAGTGCGACAATGGTGGGGGCACTGGTGGGGACAGTAGGGACGGTGGTGGAACCAGTGGGGACAGTGGTGGTGAGAACAGTGGTGCTGGTAACAAGAGTAGGGGATGTGGTGCGGACGGTGGTAGGGACCGGGAGTCGTCGTTTGCTGGCGGTGAGGGGGGGGGGAGGGGTTCGAACCAGTAGTGACCCCCCTCTGGTTTTCGAGGGGGGGGGGTTCGAACCGGTAGTGAACCCCCCCCGGTTTTCGAGGGGGAGGGGGGGGGTTGGGGAGGGGGAGGGGGGTGGGCCAGGGGAGGGGAGGGGGGTCCAGCAGGGGGGCGGGGGGGTCGGAGGGGGGGGGGGGACCCCGGCTCCTGAGGAAAAGGAGGGGGAATTTTCCACAGTAAAGCGGCGGTGGATCACGCTCTCTCCACGTTGTAGCACCAACCCCACCACCCCATAATACCCCATCCCATCCTATAGGTGGCGGCTACGAGGCTGCGTCTTGGGCGTCTTGGAGCGATCTTTCGGCGACTTGTCGCCCTCTTGGACCGTCCGGGTGGCCTTTTGGGGCCCTCTTGGCCCGTTTTGGGGCCCCCTGAGGCTCCAAGGGTGCGGCCGACACCTTTGCCCCCCCCCCCCCCCCCCCCCTCCAAACCGGCCGGAGCGGGCTCCCGGGGGAGGGGTTTGGGGAGGGGGAAGCGTCTCACACGCCGTGACCCCAAGGGGTCGGCGGATTCGTGAAGCCTTGAGGTGGCCCTGGGGGTCCTCGTAGAGCCATCATGGAGGAAATCGTTCGAACAAGGGGAGCGGCAAGGATTAGGTTTGTGATCGTTCTTTGATTCATTGTTTTACCGATCGGCGCGAGCCCTCGCCCCCCCCTTCCCCCTTCCCCATGGAGTAGATCTTTTGCTGTTTTGGCGCCTGTTTCGAGCTGGTGGGAACCCCCCCCCATGGGACGCACGGTTCCAAACAGTCGCACTAAGCAGAGGTCCGGAGCCAGACCCCCCCTCCCCCCCCCTTCCGCCCAATGTCGAAAAGTCGAATAAGGACAGCTCACCTAGCTCTTCTTGGTCTCAAAACGTCACCTCTTGGAACCATTCTGGGCCGCTCTTGGGGTCCTTTGGGGGCCGTCATGGAGCCATGTTGGGAGCATGTGGAGCTTATTGGGCCTTTCTTGGGGCCCTCTCGCAAGCCTGGGCGGCCCTCTCGGAAACAGTTTCGAGGATGTCGGTCGCAGAACCGGCGGTTCGCAATTCTTTCCCCCCACGTCAGGAGCTTTCAAAGTTACCTCTTGGAGCACTCTTGGAACTATCTTGGGACACTCTTGGGCCCCCCGTTGGGCCCTCTTGGAACCATCTCGGGGCTTCCAGAGCCCACTGCAAGTGAGAAGGCGAGAAGGCACACGTTATGTGTGCCAGTGTTTCGGAAGGAACTTTGCCTCCTGGGAGCCTCCTTCGGAAACTCCGCTACCGCTCGACCCGTTTGGGGGCGGTCTCGGGGCCGCTGGGATGTTAGTTGGAAGCTGTCTTGAGCTTGAGCGATGCTGGGCAATCATGTGCAATATTGGAGGCCACCTTGAGCTGTCGGGTGCCCTCTTGGAAGGAGTGCGGGGAGGGGTCAAGCTATATCCCTCCCCCCCCCCGCCCGCGGGACCGTCGTTTCGCTCATTCCCATCCCATCCCGCCCCCCCCCACACATAAGTGGCACCCGAGCCTCAGCACGGGGAGGGGCCGCCGTCGGCAACCATAAGGAACCAATCCATACGCAAGCCAGGTGAGCGACGCGCACGAGGTCCGCCGCGCGAGGTGGAGTACCCCCCCGCCATCCCCTGCCACACACCGGTGCGAAGTGATCGCGGGACGCCCGCGCACGGTCGAAGATGTTGCCACAGCGTGCGTTGTGCATTTCTATCGTGGCAGGGGTGGTGGGCCTGCGCACGTGGGGCAATCAGATGGCACCCGCCTCTTTCCTATGAAAGGCAGTGTAAAGAGATCGCGGGGAGCTCGAACAAGATCAGTTCATTGCCGCAAATATTGCGTCATCTCGTTCTTGACAGGGATGGGGGGGGGCGTCGGCACTGTCCCTCTGGTTTATCGCCAGTCGGGCGGAGGAGTGGATGTGTACCAAGAAGAACAAAAAGGTCAACCCCTCCTCGAAAGAGGAAGGACGTGGTTGGAAGAGGACGCGCTCTGGAGAACATCCGCCCAGAGGACTGGTGCGATTTCAGAGGGGTTGTGGCCTCGGGAGCGCGAGCATGTTGTAGTTTTCTAAGGCTGAAGGCCTCGGTTGCGCGAGAGCGTTGTGATTTACCATTGTTTTTTGCTCAGGGAGCGCACGTGCAATGTAATTTACGAGCGGTCGCGGCCTCAGGTGCGCGAGCGCGTTGTCATATCAGAGGGGTTGAAGCGTCGGGGGCGCGAGCGCGTCGTAATCTAACAAGCGTTCTGGCCTCGGGAGCGCGTTGAAATTCACAAGGGGCTGTGGCATTGGTTTCGCGAATTCGTGTCAATGTGCAACGGACTGGCCTCGGGAGCGCCAAAGCGCTGAGATGCACAACGGCTTGTGGCTTCGGGAGCGCGAGCGCGTTGGAAGTTATGCAGGGGCTGCGGCCCCAGGAAGGCGCGCGCATCGTTGTACTCTACGAGGGGCCGTCGCCCCGGAAGCCCACGTCCGTCGCACGGTACCGAGGGACCGTGGCCCCGGTGCTCGCATAGCTTTCTGCAGAGTGTCCCGGGGGGGGGGGGGAAGAGACTCTGGGGACGTGATTTCGCTAAGGTGATGCGTTTGTTTTCGGCCAGGGTGGTCGTGCGGTCTGCAGCTGCTTTTCAACCTTGGATCGGAGAGCAACGATCTCTCAGACTCGACACCCTGGAACATGGGAATGGCACTGGAACTGGTACTTCACCAGCAAAAAGAGTGCTGTGTGTAGGGGGCAGACACTTCGTCAGCGCAGCCTGGTTTGCCTTCAAGGGGGCCGGTCTTTCTCACCATGCCCACAAAACAGCTCTCAAAGAGAGTCCCACCTGACGTGTGCTCGCCGTGATTTGGGATGAAGGGGGCTCCTTGGTTGGATTAGTGTAAGTTCGGGCCTGTCGCTCCACAGGAGGAATATTCAAAAATAATCAAAACATTACATGGGGATGATTTTTGACTATTCTTGAGTATTTTAAAATGCTTTTGGGGCATTTTCAATTTTACATCAAAAATCCGCCTGTAGGGGGACACGCCCGACCTAAGATTAGTACGTTGGGCTGCACCTTTGGATCCGATCCTAACCCTCAGGGGGCCTCACACGTTCCCGGAGACCCCAGAGGCCCTGGGAGGCCCGAGCGGAGCCAAGGCATACATAGCCTCCCGCCCCGCGGAGCGGAGCGACACGCTATATCCTCTCGCAGGGCCTGGCGTGTCGCCAGGGCCGCCGCAGCGACGCGTTGGGCGAACGTTGCTGACCGTAGCAGGCTGGAGGTGCGGCCCCCCTATGGACCCTGCGTGCCCCAGCCGCGGGCGGCATGACCGCGCGCGGCAGGGACTGGCGGGTGGTCGCTGGCGCTCTGCTGGCGGCCGCGGGGGCGGCCGTGGCCGTTGAGCGGCTCTCGCGGCGCGCGCGCAGGAGACGCCGGCTGGCGGCGCGGTGTGACGCAAGGCGCGGGGCCCGGGTCCGCGTCGTGACTTTGGAGCCGCTGGGGGTCTGAGGTGGCCCAGCAGTGGTTCCGGCGAGCAGGAAGGGGGGAGGTTCTGAGCTCGAGAAGGTGTTTGCCTGATCGGCTTCCTGGAGCCTTGTGCGGCCCCCCGACCCGTCCAAAAGCGGATCTGGGGCGAGAAAAGTTGCGCTAGATGGGCCCCGGAGAAGGAAGAGGAGGAGGAGGAGGAGGAGGAGGAGGAGGAGGAGGAGGAGGAGGAGGAGGAGGAGGAGGAGGAGGAGGAGGTATGAGGAGGAGGTGAGGAGGAGGAGGAGGAGGAGGAGGAGGAGGAGGAGGAGGGAGGAGGAGGAGGAGGAGGAGGAGGAGGAGGAGGAGGAGGAGGAGGAGGAGGTATGAGGAGGAGGTAGGAGGAGAAGGAGGAGGAGGAGGAGGAGGAGGAGAAGGAGGAGTAGGAGGAGGAGAAGGAGGAGGAGGATGAGAAGGAGGAGGGCGCGTCGTGACCCTGCTCACGCCCTGGCGAGGACAGAAATGCAATGGAAGGTCCGCCGCGAACAAAAACAATACACGGGCACCCTCCACGGTGCTGCTCCTGGGTGGCGGTGTCGAAATCACCACTGAGAGCCAGCGACTTTACGCACCGTCCCCTCCCCGAAGGAGCCTGCAGAGTTCGTCGGAGGGTGTCTGTGCACAGTTTTTCGGGGCGTAGAAGGCGTCGGGCAAGTTCTGGCCCTCTTTTTTTGCGGCGAGCGACGGGGCGAAGTGAGAAGGAGACGGCCTTCTCAGAAGGTTCGGAAGTGCCCCTGCCTTCTGAGAAGTGTTCTAAGCCGCCTTCCCCGAAGACACAGAATCAGGTTCTCAGAAGGCGCGAGGGATTCCGAGAAGTCCGTCCACCTTCTGAGCAGGCCGTCTCCTTCTCATTTCCCCCCTCGCTCGCCGCCCCGAATATGTTTTCGTGGCGTAGAAGGTGTCGGGCAAGTTCTGACCTTCTATTGGCGGCGAGCGAGGGGGGGAAGACAGAAGGAGAAGGCCTTCTCAGAAGGTTCGGAAGCCCCGCGGCGTTCTGAGAAGTGTTCTGAGCCTTCCCCGAAGACACAGAAACAACTTCTAAGAAGGCGCGAGAGCTTCTGAGAAACCCCGCCGCCTTCTGAGAAGGCCTTCTCCTTCTCATGACCCCCCTTGCTCGCCGCCGAATATGTTCTCGTGGCGTAGAAGGTGTCGTGCAAGTTCTGGCCTTGTTTTGGCGGCGAGCGAGGGGGGGAAGTAAGAAGGAGAAGGCCTCCTCAGGAGGTTCGGACCCCCCCCGGTATTGTGAGAAGTGTCCTGAGCCTTCCCCGAAGACGCAGACAACAACTTCTCAGAAGGCGCGAGGGCTTCTGAGAAGCCCCGCCGCCTTCTGAGAAGGCCTTCTCCTTCTCAGTTCCCCCCCCCCGCTCGCCGCCGAATGGCGTAGACGGTGTCGGGCAAGTTCTGGCCTTCCTGCTGGCGGCCTTCCCTGGGGCCCCCGGGGCCGGCCACAGGAAGACCCCATCGGGACGAGCGGCTGGCCCCAGGGAGAGCGCCCAGCCCCCGCGGGGGGCCCACGTCGTGGAGCGCCTGCAGCTGCTACGGTTAAGTCGGGCACGTCCCTCGACAGGCGGCAGATTCAAAAAAATATCAGCAAATAGTCTGGGGACGATGTTTTGAGTATTTTGTTTTGTCCATTTTTGAATATTCTTGACTATTTTGCATCTTTCGCCCAAAGCCCGCCTGTAGGGGGACATGCCCGACCTAAGGCTACAGCCGGGCCGAGGTATAAGATCGAGGTCGGTTCGGGGAGGGTGCCCTCGTGTCCTGCGCCAGAAACGCAATTGTTTGGCGCTCCGCTCGGATTTCTTCGATCCGCGCTGGGGCCCCCGGCGGCGTCTCCAGCGCCGCCCCTAGCGCGCTCCGCGCGCCGGGGCGCAGATCAAAAAAATCCGCGCGGAGCGCCAACGTTTTCTTTTTCTATTGTTGGACGTTTTGGTGCATTTTGGTGGGAGGGCACCCTCGTTCCTCAGCTTGGCCGGCGGAGGGTCTCATGGTCTTGGATCGGGGAAGCGTGAGACCCGGGCTTGCCAGGACTAGGGTTCGCCATCGTTTTTTGACGACCGCGCCTCGGATTTTGACGAGGAGGAGTTTCGTGGGATGTCTGCCGCGGGAGGCCTCGTCAAAATGCAGGCGGCTCGGCCTCGTCATTTTTTTGACGACCTCGTCGGGGATTTCCGAGTCCCCCGTACCCGGGTCTTACGTCTCCCCGATTGGAGGATGTGAGGATGTGCTTCTGTCCCAGGTCCGACTGTACGCGTAAGAGCGACCTTTCGCCAGAGTGACCTCTGGGCTCGGGTATACAAGGGGTCCCACCAGCATTGGCTGGCGCGCTCGGGTTGCTTGGATTTGGCCTCCTCCGTCCCCCGCGGCCCCCAACAGCCGCGCACCAGGGGTCACTCGTGCCTGGGGTCACTCTTGCGCTCAGCCGGCCCTGGAAACGGCAGGGCCGTTGGCCGTTTTTTCACCATTTTCGAAAAAGGTGTCTCTTGAACATGGAAGCGGAAAGAAACGGCGACCGAGAACGGCAAAACAACGGCTCCGCGATCGAATTTGGAACCGGAACCGGGAACATAAAACGGCCACGGAGCGGGCACAATAAACGGCGACGGAACGAACCGGCAACACAAACGGCAAGACGGAACCGGTAAACAAACGGCCCTGTCGTTTCCAGGACCCACAGCCCTTGCGCGCAGCCCAACATAGCGTCATTTACGTTGCATCTTCGGGGGACCTCGCCTGTCCCCCAAGTTGGTGTCTTTTCGTGTGCCCGACGCGGGCTCGATGCGGACGCGACGCGGATTTGGCGTGGACTCGACGCGGATTCGGCACGGATTCGACACGAATCCGACGAGGCAGACAAGGTCCCCCTAGAATGCAACGCAGCGTCGTCGGGTCTTTGGGTTAGGTCGGGCATGTCCTCCTACAGGCGTATTTTGCATGACAAATAAAACATTGCCAACACATGTTCGAAGATAGTCAAAAAGCATATTCAAAAAGTCGTCCCCAGACTATCTTTTTCGATTTTTTCGAACCCAGACATGCGACGTCCTGATTTTTTTCAGGACGGCGTCCCCCGAAGTCCAGACCTTTTTCCCCGGAGCCGGTTTTTCATCCTGAGTCGTTTCTCGACGGTCCCGAGGCCCGGCGAGGGCCTCCAAGGGCAGAAAGTCGCCGAAAACCGCCTGTTTTGTTTTTCTGCGACGCGAGCATGTCTGGGTATTCCTTTTATTTATAGAGTTATGATGTTCCAACCTAGTTTAGCCTCGATCACCAGAAAGAATTTCGGGCTCCAGGAACGTACCGGAAGAATTGAAGGGTTTTCACGTGTCGGGCCCTGGGAGACACTCGCCCGACACTGTTTCGACACTCTTTCGACACTTTTCCTGGTGCTCGAAATTATTTCTGGGATGCGGTCCTCGAGTACGATGGGGGCAATATGGCTATAGAGAGACATGCCCGCCTTGATCCTCGGGGATCCGTGCAGCACCGCGGGAGGGTTGGCACGGCAGGCTCGTGCGGCCTCGGCGCAGCGCCCTGCGCCGCCAGGGGGGGGGCGTGCGGGGTCGAGAGCCTAGGCGGTTCCGGCCCAGCGGCGGCGAAGCCCACAGAGCAGTCGAGTAGGGGGATCATCATCATCAGCAGCAGCATCATCAGCATCGTCATTATCACCATCATCATCATCATCATCATCATCATCATCATCATCATCGTCATTACAATCATGATCATCATCCTCATCATCATCATCATCATCATCATCATGGTCATCATCATCATCATCATCGTCATCATCATCATTATCTTCAGCATCATCATCAGCATCATCGTCGTCATCCTTATCATCCTCATCGTCATCATCGTCGTCATCACCATCTACAGAATTCCTGTTCCCCATACTCGCTCCATTGTCTCATGTCGCCGACATCGCAGAGTGGATCTCGTTAGGAGAGCAATGGCTTGGGCCAGGACTGTCCTGGAGAATGTCGCTGCGGATTTCGACGTGAATTTCGCGCGGGTTTGCTTTGGGCCAGGAATGAAGACAAGAAAACGTCCACGTGAAATTCACGTCGTTCTCCGCTCGCCATTTCGGGGTGTTGCACTCAGAGAAATCCACGCAGAAGTCCGCTGCAGCACGTCTGCAAGGTCGGTGCAGTGACTTGTCGAATATACGAGAAGTGCGTCGAGTGCTCGTAGGTCTACATCCATGTTACGTATGTGCGTATTTGTCTCGTAGATTCCGCGAGCATTTCAAGTGTTGGGTAAGTGAATTCTGTCGTCGATCCCCCACTCGAAGCAGGGGCGACGGCGTTTCAGAAGCTGGGGGACCTCCGGGAGCGGAGATCCTTCAGGGCCGATCGCCCGGGACGTCTCCCTCCCCTGGGCCGGCAGCTTGCGCCGCTTTTTTTCCCCTGGAGCGCTGGGCCCCGTGCCCGCTCGCCGCCTCCATGGGCTCGGGCCTCGTCGGGGCCGTGGACCTGCCCGGGCACGGTCTCGGCCCTGCCGAGCGCGAGGCGGGCCGCGCTCTCCGACGCTGCGGGCCAGGGCGGCCCGACAGCATGCCGAAGACGCAAGGGCCGAACGGCTCACGCGGTGTCCGGCCGCCTCCTCCTCCTCCTCCTCCTCCTCCTCCTCCTCCTCCTCCTCCTCCTCCTCCTCCTCCCAGGGCCCACGGCGTCAAGTCAGGAGCTTGATGCAGCTATATGGATGGCTATGGTAGCAGGTTGGAGCGGCCGCCTCCCAAGGCGGCGTTGAGCGCCACCCTTCCCAGGAGAAGGCCTGTCCTGTGCTGGGTTCCGCCCAGGACGGGCTCGTCCCTCGCAGTGCCCGCCCGCCCTGTTGCCTCTGCCCTTCGCTTCGGGGACCTCGCAGGCCCTGCCGCCGAGCCTCCCCGCCACCCCGCTCCCGTCGGCCATCCTCGACGCTTGGCATCCTTCCTCCCCAGCCAGCCCCCTGCCAGCCCCCTGCCCCCTCCTTCGTCCCCATCCAGCCCACGCCCCCGTCCAGGGAGGGGGGTGGGTGGGGTGCGGGCGGGGGGGGCGAGGATGCGGCACGGAGGCGCCCCTCCCACGACCCGGGTGTTGTCAGGTGACTCGGGTCCAAGGGCTCTTCCAGCCCGGCCCAGATGGGCCTCCAGGGCCCAGCAAGCCCCCAAGCAGCCCCAAGATGTCCACAAGAGGCCCCCAAAGTTGCCCCAGAAGAGGCTTCCAAGAGGCTCCGAGGAGAGCCCATGCGCACATGCTATCGATACACTCCCGACGTGCGCCCAGCGACGCGAGAGGAGTCCACGGATCGGGACCCCCCACGAGGCCCAGGAGGCCCCCCAGGGGCACCCGCAGCGGCCAGAGAGAAGCAAGCGGGGCACCTCGGGCAAGGATCGCTTCTGGCAGCCTCCGAAGGATGGGATGGGCGACTGCGCATCGGACTGCTCTTGTGGTGACAGGGCCCTCGGGGCCGTGACCGCCCCACTGCGGGCGCCACCGCCTCGAAGGGCTTCTGGGCCAGCGCAGTCGCCCGAGAGGCGCGGCGCGGACGTGGGCGGGGGGGGCAGCGAGGCGCGACGCGGGTCGAAAGTGGAGGGGAGCGACGGGGAGGCGCGATGCGGGCGTGTGCGAGGGCGGCGGCCTCCGACCCCGCGGCCAGGGTGCAGGCGCTGCACCGGTTCGCCGTCAAGGGCCTCGGCTTCGACGCCCTCCGCGAGTGCCGCCTGGAGCGGGGCGCCTGCTTCCCCAACGACAGGTCTTGGGCCCTCCTGCGGCGCGAGGAGCTGGCCTGCTTCGACCCGCACAGGCCCCAGTGGGTCCACAATTCGAAGAAGAAACAACTGCATGGGCACAAACCGTCGGAGTTTCGCGCGGCTGTCTCGGATCAGCGCCCGACCCTCCTGGCGGCGCCTCCGGAGCCGCCCGTAGCTCGCTCCGCACGCCCGGGAGGGGGGTCCAGCACCGATCCAAGAGATCCGCACAGAACTCCGACAGTTGTTGGTTCTGCCGGTTTTTTGTTTCTTCGGGCAAGATGAAATTCTACGCCGCGTGCAGCTCGGCCCGCGCCATTCGGGTGCTGCCAGGGGCGTCCCTGGCCCCAGGTGCCCCCAGGATTGTCCCAGAGGCCCCCGCGGCCTCCAGAGCACCTCTCTCGAGGCCGAGAGGGGCCCAGAGGCCCCAGAGTTTCGGATGCAACGTCTGGGAGGTCAGATTCTGACTTTGCCCTGTCCACAATCGATGTAATCCGTCTTGATTCCGCTTAATCCGGCTGAATCCCGCCTAATCCCGCTTCGTCTGCGGCCTAATCCGGCGTAGCAGCGCCTCAATGGGGTTTAATCCTCCTCAATCCCTCGGGCGAAGACCTCCCAGTAGATGCCTCCTAAAGAAGGGCACTGGGGCCCCAGAGTGGCGCGAGAAGTTGGGGACATGTTGGGCCATGGCCACTTCTGGCAACGCCTGGGCCATGGCCTCGCTGAGCTCCTCGTTCGCGGACGCGAGCGGTGCGCTCCGCGTGTGCGACAGGGCGAGCGGCGGGGTGCTGCTGGAGGCGCCGCTCGGCACTGAGGAAGGGCGCACAGAGGTGGAGCGCTTCTTCTCCGACTTCTTGGCGGCGCCCACAAGGGTTCGACTACACGAAGAAGAACAAACGCCATACACTGAAACTGTCGGCGCTCCGCGCGGATTGCTTTGATCCGCGCTGGGGCCCCCCTGGCGGCGCCGGAGGCGCCGCTCCTGGCGCGCCGGGGAGGGGGTCCAGGTCAGATCCAAGAAATCCGCGCGGAGCGCCAACAGTTTTTGTTTATAGCGTTTTTCTTTGTTCTGAATAGGGGATCGACTACAGAATTGATGTTCCCTAGAATTCATTTTCTCGCCGAGCCCATGACACAAAAGCGTTCGTGGGATGTTCGTGGACCGAGCAGTCTTCGTTTTAGTTGAGTATCTGACGAGAAAATTTGTTTTGGGGACAGAGAATTCTGTAGTCGCTCCCCGACTCGATGGGTATGGCGAGAGGCGGACTTCTAAGAAGGCGGACGGCCCTCGTAGAAGGCGGGGGCCTTCTTAGACGGCCCCCGGGGGGTTCTAAGAAGGCCTCTTGGAAGCCGGGCGGGCGTCTAAGAAGCCCGCCCGTGCCTTCTGGGGAGCCCCACCGCCTCCTCAGAGCCACACCTCCTTCGCGCCACTCCCTTGTGAGCGCGCCGCCAAGCGTCCTCTCCCGAGCGGAGGGCCGACCCGCAGACGTGGCCGTGGTGAGCGCCGGGGCGGGCAGGAGCGCCTACCAGTTCGGCAACACCCAAGCAGGCATCAAGGCGAGCGGGAACGAGAAGACGATCCACCAGGGCTCAACCTGAACGGTGTTCTTGCGATTTCGAGGGCTGTTTTCGATTAGATTTCGGTGTGCGGCAAGGGCGGAACGAAGACTGAGAACGACGCAAAACCAAAGCAAAGCGAGAACGGAGAACGGTGTTTTGGTCGAGCCCTGCGATCCACCTCGTGAGTCTGGCGACGGTCAGGGACCTCAGCAGGGCTGTCGGGGAGAGCATCGACCCACTTCGCTTCCGCGCGAACATACTGCTGGACGGTCTGGACCCTTGGGAGGAGTTCGAGTGGGTGGGCCGGGTGATCGCAGTCGGCAGAGATGTGCATTTGAAGGTTGTGAAACGCACGATCCGTTGCGAGGCCACGACTGTGGACTTGGCCACCGCTAAGAAGGGCCTCGATATCCCAAGTGCCTTGACGAAGCACTTTCCGCAGCATGGGCCGTACTTGGGAGTGTATGCGCAGGTTGTCCGGGCTGGTACCATCTACCCGGGAGATGCCGTTCGCGAGCTTGCCTGGTGGTAGCTTGTCTGATAGGCTGACAGAGTGTCCGCCGTAGTGAGGCTGTCAGACGTCTTCGAGTCTCTCCCCCCGTCCGCCTTGGCGCACACCCCTCCCACGCTTCTCGTCCCGCAGACGCAGCTCCATCTGCGGCCCCCGCGGGCGCGCCCGCATGGTATCTCCGCGCCCCATTTGGCTTACCCCTCACGTGCTTCATGCCCCATATAATGAAGTCGGGCCGGTCCCCCTACAGGATGAACATTCGAACATAGCATCAACAAAAATGGTCTGGTGACGATTATTCTTTTATTTTTGACCATTCGAGCATTTTGGAAATTATTTCTTATTTCCAGACCTAAGCTTACCCCTGGGCAACCTTCCCAAGGGTACCCTTTCACCCTTGCCTCCTCGGCCCATCCTCGGCCGCTTTCGCTGGCCGCGCCCCGCTCGCAGAGTTACGACATGGCCTTCCAAGGCCCTCGCATCCTTATCGTGCGTCCTTGAGATACGGGTTGACTGTAGCATTAAGTCGGGCACGTCCCTCTACAGGAGGAGTATCCAATAATAGTAAAGAACATGTCTGGGGACGATCATTTGAGATTTTTGGAATCATTTTTTGGGAGGGGGGGACTTTTGACATATGTCATCGAACATCCCCCTGTAGGAGGACATGCCCGGCCTAACTGCAGCATCGGCGCATGTCCTCTCGCGGGCCGCACATCGCGAGAGCCCCCGCGCGGACGGCGGCTCGGCGCCCGCGGGAACCGCGGCCCGCGGGGGGTGGGAGGAGGCCGTGCACCGGGCACGGCCGCGAGAAGAGGCCAGTGCCCCAGGGTCTCGCGCCTTTTGCCGGCGGGAGCCCGGAGCGGAGCGGAGGGGGGTGGGCGTCACCCCAACAGTCAAGCCGTGGCTCTAAGAACCTGTTGTGGTCTGCGCGGGGTATTACTAGAACATATATGGCCGAGATTGTCTTGCTTGAACACGTCGGGTTTACTCTTTCAGAACTTTGCTGTTGTGATTCGGACATTATTGGTTTTCTAAGAACATGTCGTGGTAGGCCCATTAGAATGCTGGGACGGTCGGTCCCTGTTCAAGACATACTAATACTATGCGTGCCTCGCCCCCCTTCTGTACGCGGAACTCTTCCACGCCTGATCGCTTCCCCCCCTGCTCCCCCCGCGCGGCCGTCATCGTGTTCCTTCCTTCCTCCTGCACGCCGGACAATTCGCATTTCGGTTGCCCCGATTCGCCACACGCTGGAACGGACTGCCTCTGCCTCGCCGGGAAAAAGTGCGTCACCCCCCCAGGGGCTACGCGCACACCGAGAAATCTTATAGTAGATGACGCGTGGCGGGCGCTTTCTGACCACGCCGCTGGGGAAGCGATACACTACAGGATGGGTATACTACATGTTCGGATCGGATACGCGCCTCCAATGAGAACACATACGTAGTACTAGTATGTCTTTGTACGTCCCAGGGGGGGCCAAAGGGGGACGGGTGGCTAACCGACTACGACGCGGGATGCAAGGCCCAGTTCAAGAGCAGCTATGGTCCTCCATTGTCCCCTTCCTTCTTGTGCTCCTCCTCCTCCTCCTGTTCCTCCCCCTGCTTCTCCCTCCTCTTCATCCTTGTTCCCTTCCTCCTCTCGATGCGGAACGGAGGGGTGTGGGCAAAGGGAAAAGTCGCAGGCGATGTTTCTATTCCAACGCCCGACTTTTCGACGATAAATGAAGCGGCGAAAGACATGCGGAAAGCCTTGGGATAAACCCCCACTGGAGCTATTCGGACGCACCCCGATCGAGGATGGACGCCCCCCTCGCATATTCCAGGGTGGTGTCCCACTTGTTCGTCCATTCCAAATCCCCACGAAGCTGGGGATGGGAGTCGTCGTCTCCCCCGTTTGGAAGGGCCGCTAACAGACCACGACGCAGGATGCAAAACCCAGTTCCTGGAAAGCTAGGGTCCTCGCTGCTCTCCTCCTGCTCCTCCTCGTTCCTCGCCTCCTGCTCCTCCTTATCTTTTTCATCTTCGCCCTCTTTAGCCGAATGAGGGGCTAGTGCAGTCACCGCAGTCGTCGTCTCTCGTCGCTGCGTTCGCTCGGCTGCCGTCCTCCTCTCCTCACCGTCGCCGTCTCAGTTCCTTCGTCGTGTTGGTGTGCTGCCGCGCTGCTCTCCGCCAGAACCTCTCACCCTCTCGGGGACGCCGCCCTCTTCCTTTTTCCTTCCCCTTTTCTATTTGAAGCGTAAACGGGGCCTTGTATTCGGGGATCGAAGGAGTTGCCATCTCTTCCGCGGCGGAAGGCGGCGGAAGGGCGGCGGAAGGCGGCGAAAGTAAAAGATAAACCACCAAACGATGAATATGTTTCTGGGTTCAGGGCTTCCAGAATGGGCCATCCTTGTTCCTTAGTAGCTCCTTCCTGTCGCATTCCGAAATGTCCTAGTAGGGCGGGCCGGGCGGTTCGCCTGAAAGTCCCGCCATGTATGATCCTTAAGTCGAACAGTTGCAACAGCTTCAAGGATGGAGGGCAGGTCGTTTTCAACATGTGGTTCTCGCCGTAGCGCCGCGCACGTTCAATTTTTACACATGCGACAGTTTCTAGGATGAGGAGCGGGTCCTTCTGAGGATAGACGGTCGGCCGGTTTCAAAACGTGGTTATCGCCTTAGTGTTGTGCGCATTATTCTTGAACGTTGCAAGAGCTTCACGGATGGAGATCCGGCCGTTTTCAACATTTGGTTCTCGCCTTAGTGCCGCGCGCATTCGTCTTAAACAATTGCAGTCGCTTCGAAGATGGAGGCAGATTCTGTTCAAGATGAGGCTCGCCTCAGCGCCGCGCACATTCGATTGAACAGCTTGCAGGAGCTTCACGGATTGAGGGTGGTACCTTTTCAACACTTGTTTCTCGCCTTAGCGCCGTGCGCGTTGGGTTTAGGTGCTTACAGCCGTCTCCAGGATTCTTACAGCTGGCGTCCCAAAAATGGTGCGTGGGCACGATGTAGGACTGTCAGGGCGCAGCGGGTACGTTGATTCGCGGCGTGTAAGTCCCAGGAATGGTTATCAGGTTCGGTTTAGGATCGCCAGGGCGCAACAGCAACATTAATTCGCTGCGATGAGTCACAGGAATGGTATTTTGGCACGGCTAAGGATCCCCAGGAAGTTGATTCACAACGGGGTATTTCCCTCAATGAATATGAACGTTTTGTAGGGTCCTATGAAG